TTTAATGAAACCTCACAGAATACGCACCAGTAAAGTCCCATTGTAGTTTCGGCGCCATCTTTCTTCCGCAGTGTATGTGAATGAATCCGTTAAAAGTATTCTCACGTCACCTGAAGTATTTATTTTGGCCAGCCAGGTGTAAAGTGGTTATTCATGGAGCCTTAATTGTGGATTTTCCTCAGGTGCGTCAAGGTGAACGAGCTCAGTGATGCATAAATACAAGACGTCTCTATTTTGATCACGTGGAAATTAAGTAGGTTACCTTATTTTACCTATTGATTAACCTAACCTTCATACTAACCTAACGTAACGTAACCTAACCAAACCTAACCTAACCTAACCTAACCTTCATACTAACCTAACGTAACGTAACCTAACCAAACCTAACCTAACCTAACCTAACCTAATCTAATCAAACATAAACTTACTAATGCTCTCTGACATAAGGACTGTTCATATGCTCCACCAACACGAGGCACTGTATGTAAGTCTTCTGCTTTAGGATCCAATATATATAATGCTCTCGTGCGATAAATTCTCAATAAAACTTTCACATGTATTTTTTTTTTCAATGAGTCAGAATAAATGCAAAAAAAAAGTGCATGCTTACCCCATCTATTGATACTGAAACGAACTGTAAAGATCTTGATAGTAGAGTAAATTATGTTGGCCAGCCACAAATGGTAAGATTCATTTTATTTCAATGATTTAATTAAAAAACGATGATATGAACTTCTCAACAGTAAAACATAAGAGAAGGATTTGTTGTTAAGTATTACCATGACGACTCCAGGTGAAATGCGTCTGAAACCACAACAATAACAACAACAGCAACAATAACAACAACCAATCACATCAATAAGTTACACAACACTCTTAGCTTACATTGTTTTACTTCAATTAATAATGTCTTTAAAGGCACAAAAACTACATTAAATTCACTATCTCATCAACAATATAAAACTTACGTGATAGAAATATTTATATTAGTTTATATTTTAATATATAGACCTACGCAGTTTGCTTTAATACTCTTCTGAATTAAGTCATGAGAATAAATCAAGACGTCCCACTTACTGAGACCAGATGGCGTGGGGATGCTGTTGTTATATCATATATTATTTAATCTTCAACGTATATTCATCATTCTATTTTTCTGAAGCATACATACATACATACATACATCCATACATACATCAAGAGTATATATTCTCATTATGTATACTGTATAAAATGCACAGTAAGTGAAAAATACATCACAATCCTTTATGTATGAAGTTATAGGGCCAACATTTTCCTTATGCTGGAGAATATGCTAATTATTCAAGCCTGAGCATATAGGTGTTCCTTATGCTAGAGAATGTATATAATATTCACCTTGGAGCATATTAACGGAGCGTATTAACCAAATGTACAGTACATCCTTGGTGTCATAGTATAAGTGGATATAATTATGCTGGAAGATACACATATTCTTTACGCTGCTGGTGGTAGTGGTGGTGATGGTAGGGATAGACTGATGGGGATGGTAATGGTAGTGGTGGTGGGAGTGATGCTGGTAGTGATGGTGGTAGTGATGGTAGTAGTGGTAGTGATGGTAGTAGTGGTAGTGATGGGCTGATGGGGATGGTAATGGTAGTGATGGTGGTAGTGATGGTGATCATGGTAGTAGTGGTGGTAGGAGCGCCTCGGGCAGTCGTGTACAGTTACCCCGTCACACTTACCCGTTTTCTATGAGGTCACGCCAGCACACCGCGACTCATGACGGACAGTGGAAAATTTTATCTCTAGGGTGAACAGTCAGCAACAAGGAACAAACAGTCCGATGATGTAGGTCAAATGGACCCCAGTCCTAATAGGCCCCAATTCCATTAAACCTATAGCTTAAAATACCCCCCAGTGTCATGGTTAGGTTAGGTTTTACCAGGAAGGAGGCCTAATTTAAAGATAAACAGAATCCCGAGATAAAAAAATATATATAAAATCCTATTATTTTTATCCAACTGGGGATAAAATATACCCAGGAGAGGAGGGAGGTACAGTGAGCAGGTTATCGATGCTGTGTGACATTTATGTACCTGCTCTCTCTCTCTCTCTCTCTCTCTCTCTCTCTCTCTCTCTCTCTCTCTCTCTCTCCAACAAACCTCGACTACAGTTAAATAACCAACAATCAACACCCCCACCCCCTCACCCCCCTCCATCGTTGAACACCTGACCTCGGGAAGCACAACTTTCTTTGCTTTCTAAACTGTTGCCTTAAGGAAGTTAGAAAGCAACGAGAAGAAAGAAGAGGAGGAGGAGAATGTTGGTTGGTCTTTCCTCATACCAACAGACGAATGAATTATATATGACCCGGCGACCTACTTGATGCGGGGTATAATAATAATAATAGGTAGAGACACGAATAAAACTTTACTCATGACACGACACACACACACACACACACACACACACACACACACACACACACACACACACACACACACAGAGTACACATAATTACTACGAATTACCTACACATATGTTATTATCTCTTTACACTATTTCCACATACAACTTGCCCAATACTACCTCACTATACACTCACCTCACTATACACTCACCTCACTATACACTCTCCTCACTATACACTCACCTCACTATACACTCTCCTCACTATACACTCACGACCAGCCTAGGTAATCAAGGTGTGAGGCGCCATCTGGCTGGTACACCTGAGAGGACTGAACATAACGGGAACACCTTGATTAACTCTCAGTCAAACTAGCCTCTCCTATTACGTGTTCTGGCCGTCAGGTAAACAAGGCTAACAGGAAATTCTGGGAAGATATGAAAATTAGTTATTATGACCTCCACTACCACCACGCCACTACCACCACGCCACTACCACCACGCCACTATTACCACGCTACTACCACCACCACGACAATACCACTACTACCACCACCATCAGCAGCAGCATTGTCACCACCACTACTACCACCTCACTAGCCGGTTACTACCACTATTACCACTAACAACGGTAACAACACCATCAGTGCGTATAGCGGCGCTGAGAGGTCACTACTGAGGTGGATGGTGGTGGTAATAGTCAGTCTCCCCGCGAGCGTTGACGAGGAAAGTACTGCTTACCACTATAGCTACCACCACTACCATCACTACAACCACAACTACGATACTTACTACAACTACCACAACTACCACCACAAACAACACTACTACAATTACCACCACTACCAAACAATAACGCCATTAACACCAATATTCTCACCTCCATCAATACTAACACCACCACTATTACCACCACCTACCACAAGTATTCGTGGCTGCAGTAGTAGTAGCAGTACCAGCATCACCACCACCACCACCACTACCACCACTACTACTACTACTACCAGGACCAGAAACAGCTACAACTACAACAAGGCACCAACTACAACCTACCCTGTCGAGTCATAACTAGTATGTGTGGTTATTACAGTAAATCCCTTAGTCATTATACTAAATAATATTGTACATATCTTACCTATTATCATTTTATTGTATACATCTTTCTCATTATTTTTTCTCTCCCTATTTTACCTCCACACATAGCATCAAATAGTACAATTTCAATAATATCTATTACAAATTACCTAACATATTTCAGTAGTCCCTCAACTATAAAATCCATATCAACATTCAATAACAATTAGATTTTCAAGATTAGTTTCCATGTTAGGTTGTTCATTTGTATGTTCATCCCTTTGATATTGTTCATTATCTCCCAGAGTGCATTACAGGGTGTTCATATTCATAGCTCTGAGTGTGTTCATATACTGTTTTTTTTTTCTTATCTGTCTTCAAAACTTTAATTATTTTTCTTTCTGACTTTATTTTAATATTATCTTCTTATCTATTTCCATCTTTATTAAACGTTGCTCCTATACACCAAAATTTATGTAAAATCTCGAGTTTTTCTTCATTTCGATAAGATTATGCACCGAGGCTCCCAGATACTATAATTATGCATCCTTTAGCGTTTACCTCTGATACACTACATCAACAGACACTACATCAACAGACACTACCATCAACAGACACTACCATCAACAGACACTACCATCAACAGACACTACCATCAACCTAACTTATCCCCCTCAATAGCCTCTCCAGTCTCTTGATGCTCTTGTTTATCATATGGTTTCATCCATCACCCCTACACCCACCACTATCACCCCTACACCCACCACTATCAACCCTACACCCACCACTATCACCCCTACACCCACCACTATCACACCCTACACCCACCACTCATACACCCACCTACACCCACCACTATCACCCCTACACCCACCACTATCACCCCACACCCACCACTATCACCCTACACCCACCACTATCACCCCTACACCCACCACTATCACCCCTACACCCACCTATCACCCCTACACACCACTATCACCCTACACCCACCACTATCACCCTACACCACTATCACCCTACCACATTATCACCCTACACCCACCACTATCACCCCTACACACCACCATCACCACTCACCACCACACCCACCACTATCACCCTACACCCACCACTATCACCCCTACACCCACCACTATCACCCCTACAACAACAACTACCTGGGTGACAGCATACACCCCTAACGAATTTATTTTATTAAATTAACCCATTGATGTTACCCTTAATGCTCACACACACACACACACACACACACACACACACACACACATATATATATATATTTGTCATGTCTCCCTCAAACACTCCGGACAGCCTTCAATAGAATTCCTCGTACACAACACGAGGTCAATAATGATACTACTACTACTACTACTATTCCGACTACTACTGCTAATAATAATAATAATAATAATAATAATAATAATAATAATAATACGACAGTGATCACTTATCAGGCTTCAGTTTTTCCTGTATTTAATCAACTTGGAAACCTCCAGCAAAAAACTCGTCATATTTTTTTCTATTTTTTGCAGACAGACAAGAGTGGCAGAGTGAGACACTTACCATGGCTCCAGGGGGCATTATAGGACCTGTCCACCCTCACCACCTTGCCCAGGGACGCCTCTTGCCCCCACTTCCTCAGGATGACTCACCCCACTATCTGCCCCCTCCGGCCCTCACAGGTAACGTTACTGTTGGCAGACATTAACAACGGTGTCTGTAGCGGTGGTTCTGTCCGCCGCGCCACAACCAAGCCCTAGACGCCATAATGTTTAACAAAAGCACCAAATACTGACTATTGAACCAGTTTTAAATCTTATTGATATTCCATAAATACGTACACAAACATATACTCATATATATGTATACAGATTGGTTCGATTATGTTACGTAAGGGTAGACTCGGTTACTTATTTACCAATCATTCGGTAAAGTATACGAATAACATTTATTTCTTTGCACATATACGTGAATTTGTTATCATGGTTGTAAGTATAGACGAAATGATAAGATGGATACCCAAATACTTTCATATCTTTTCAGTCGTCTATATCTAATGCTCATTTGTCTTTTTTTCAGTCAACTTATATACATTTTGGTGTCACTTATTCATGGTAAATTCGGAGTTCCAATTCCACATAATAGGTGAAAAATTACTAAAAATGCAAACCGTATTTAACATACCTAACCTAAGATCCCTCAAAATAGGTTAGATAAAGGTTAGATTTGATCCTTATTTCAAAAATCTTTACATATTGTGGAACTGTAACCCAGCATTCCTGTCTCCCGTTTCCATGCCTAGAAGGAGTGAGTGACGTTATAATGTCAATACACCGGCTCATTTTAGATTAAACTAAGTTAATGTATCCACGCATAGCTGCTCAGTAGATTATTTGAGGATTAATGGGTTAGATTCCATTGCCAGAACGTAAATTATTATACCGTGTTGAAGACTTTTACTGGAAAAATATGGTATTGAATTTGATTATTAATTTACGTCCATTTTCCCTTTCCAGTCAGCTTACAAGACAGAACTGCCAACATACCCGACCCTCACCACTTTGTCAACACCAGGGCTGCCAACATACCCGACCCTCACCACTTTGTCAACACCAGGGCTGCCAACATACCCGACCCTCACCACTTTGTCAACACCAGGGCTGCCAACAACAAATCACAACTAGACCAGATCATTAAGGATACGCTTAGAATGCCACATCCTCGCTCTACCAGAGATGCCAACAGCAACCTGGCGTTCATGGCATTCGTGATGGCCCTCCTGGACACTGTCGTCAACATCGTCAACACCATCAATAACAACAACAATAACAACAACAATAATAACAACAATAACAACAACAATAACAACAACGCTAACATCAATGACCTTGTAGCAATGAGCGAGTGAGTATATGTTCATTGTTTACTTAATTGTTTACTTAATTGAGTTACTTGTTTTCTTACTTAATTATATAGTTATCGATGGCCTACTGCCTTATTAGTTAATTATTTGAATACTTAATTACTTAATTATTAATTGTTTACATACGACTCACTTATTTGTTTACAAACCTAAATAGTGACTTACTGCAGGTTAACTAACTCGTGGTTCTAGTCACTAGCTATTAAGGTATACCAGTACTAGTCCTTTCTTCTGCTCTCAATAGAATTAACTCACTAATAGCCATACATCACTAATAGCTATTCAATCATATCTAGTTTATATAGCCAATTCTAACCCTCTAATAGTACCCAGCAAATAGCCTTATCTAACCCCATGCTTGTAAATAATAGCCTTCACGACTCTGAACTAGCTTTAACTAACCTGGAGGAGAACTGACCTGGACTAGTGCTCCGTTAGCCATCCCCCGGCCTTAATTAACAGTCACCGGTATATCGGGGATCAGTCTTAACCTAACCTAACCTAACCTAACCAGAGGGCTTAACTAATCAATACTGACCTATTCGTGTGTGTGTGTGTGTGTGTGTCCCTCCCTCAGGAACAACAACGACAACATGGTGATGGGGAAGACGCTGTTCCAGAGAGTCAGTCGCTTCCTCCACGACACCGTCACCACCGTCACCGCCCCCTTCACCTCCGTCTTCTCTGCTCTCACGTCCACCTCCTCCGCCTCCTCCCAGGTTCCTTCCTCGCCCGCCTCCTCCTCCCCATAAAATTAATCTGACTTGACCAACCTAACCTACCATGGCCAAATGAGATGTAACATAATTAAATAATAGCTTGACCTAATCTAACTTGAGTTTAACCTAATCTAACATAATCGACCACTAACCTCCTTTAATCTATAATGAACATAAATTAGCTTAATTTAACCAACCTTTAACCTGGCCTACTCCTAACATAGAATAATTAGAGTTATCCCTAACATAATCTATTGGTTCATTATCTCCGTGTAACATAGTTAAGTGGATTAGTTTTTGTTAGTAATTTAATCCCTTGAGTACGATGGTGTTAACCCCTTGAGTACTATAAGTTTGACCCCTTGAGTACGGTGGAATTAACCCCTTGAGTACAATGGCATCAACCCCTTGAGTACAATGGCATCAACCCCTTGAGTGCAATGGCATCAGCCCCTTCAGTACAATGACATTAACCCCTTGAGTATAATGAGAACCTTTAAATATGTTTACACTAGTCCTAACCCCTTGAGTACGATAAATGTAAGATCCTCGTAATCAAGGGATTAACGCCATCGTACTCAAAGGATTAAGATACTTTCAGGTCTTTCTCGATGCGCCAGACACCTGTATATATGTTAATCTTGACTGATAACTGACAGGACTTGACGAGATTATCTTTATACATAGTGTAGATAATTCTTGGTTATCTTTGTTTATTATTTAATGATAATTGTACTCAGATAATTCTATGAGATGAATAAAATTATCATAAAAAATCAAATTATTTATTGGTTGTTTCCTGAGCCATACATACATACATACATACATACATACATACATACATACACACATACATACATACCTGCATACATACATACATACATACACACATGCATACATACATACACACATACATACATACACAGGAGGAAATAAGGAATACAAACATGTTCTTCGTTATTTTAATATTAAGTATTTTCAGTAATGTTTTTTGTCAGTTAATTAATTAAATCCTTTGTTTTCATCCTGTCTTTGTATTTGTTAGTGTTTTTGTTTTTGTTTTTCAAAGTAGCTGGTGAGCTTTATCCCTATAGTCTCTGGAAACTTTAGCCGAGTATATTAAACAACTTAACACTGTATTGGTGTGTGTGTGTGTGTGTTTAGGAAATACAAAGCAAAAATATAGATATTTTATTTTATTGATAATGCCCACAGATAACAGATTTCTATTTTATTATTATTATTATTATTATTATTATTGGTATCATCATAATCATATATATACAATGAATAATAATTTGAAGGATGTGCACAATAACTGAGAGAGATGCACAACACATAATGAAACAGAGAGAGAAACTGAAACACAAAACATAGGTGTAAAAGATGTTCACTGCTTCATGAACCCTTGGCCACAGTGAAACGGTGCTCACGAACCCAGCACGGACCCAGATCCTACCTAAGCTAAGCCAATATGGTCGTAATGTTAGGTCACACACACACACACACACACATATACAAATCCTCCACGGCCATCGGAGGAATCAAAATGTGACTTGACCTCTGAAACATCGAGCTGGCTTCCATTAAGTTGCTGAACATTACTAAAAAGAGAAAATATTATGATTGTTCTGGTCCTAACAGTCGACTTAGTCCTCTGTTTTCTATTCGACGTATGAGATCACTAATGTTAAAGTCCCTTAACAAAAACATGTCGTTGATACTTCTGGCTCCACCGTTCTCGTTGTTGTTATTATTATTGTTATTGTTGTTGTTATTGTTGTCATTGTTGTTATTGTTGTTGTTGTTATTGTTGATGTTGATGTTCTGGACGATGAGGAGGAGACTGTTGAGCAGCAACATGAGGAAGGATAGGAACCCGAAGAGTGGGAACTGCCTGGCCTGGACGACACTCCCCACCTGCCTCTCCTTGAGCTCAATACCAACAGCTACCACAGTCCTCACCAGGTCCAGGATGTACGCAAGGATATCCAGCTTACCCCTCTGAGGTTCCCGATCTTTATTATCGAGGATTCCGCTTTCTGTTGTGTGTTCCATTTCCTCCTGACTCTCCCGCGCCTTATTGACAATACCCGTCGTGGTCTCTGAAACACCGCTGGGAGTTGTGGAGGCCAGGACGCTGTGGGTGGTGTATCTCGGGTCCTTCATGATGGAGGTCACACTCGTGAAGATGTTGTTTGATACATTCTCGTCTGCTGGAGTGTGTCTTCCCGGGATGACGTACTGAGGAAGGGACACAGTCTTAACGTCCTTCTGGTTTAAGGAGGACAACATGGCAGAAGCTTGTTTATGGCTATGGTGACCTGAGTGTGGCACTGGTGGCGTTGGGGAGGACCACTCTTGGTAGACAACCTTTGGCCAGTGAAGATCACTCATACTTGGCCACTGGAAACCTGAAGAATTTCGCCCTGAAGGCTGTAATTTTAACTGGAGTGAAGATGTCCAATTTAGCCTCTGAGAATCGTGTAAATCCTCTCCTTGAAGAATCTTAGAGTTTTGTTCTTGAGAATCAGCAACTTTAGAATCATGTCCACTTGGGTTTTGAGAATCAGAGGATCCTAACCTATAATCACTGGACAGATGTGATTGGTGGGGTTTAGTTGGACTTGGCCAGTGTCCAGATGGCCAAGTTGCCCACGTGTGTTGGACAGCTGGCGGTGGCTCTCGACTTCCCATGACAGTACCTGCTAGAGTGATCGACCACAGGACTCGTACCCACAGTCTGTAGGAATAAAGAACATTATAACATACAAATTAATTCACTGATGATGCTAATAACACCACAAGTATCTATTACGTCTGTGGTCTATTATAATAAAAGGTTCATTTAACACTCTTAAATAATAAAACAAGGTCAATGTAAAATAGACCAACATACTCCTATTAGTAATCCTGATCTGAGTACGATAACCTAATACAATGATTTAGCAGTAAAGTACAATTGACTTAATCCTTTGAGTACAATGGGTGAACCTTTTAAGTACAACGATATTGACCTACTGAATCCCTATAGAACAAGTTTGACCTACTCAGTGCGTAAGCCCCATTGAGTATGTGTGTCTGAACCAGTGAGCACGTGACAAATGCGTATTAATTCAAGACAGTTAGCGGTACGTCACTCTCCTTCTCGGGTGTGTAGGTGTCATCATAACGGTAAGGGGCGGGGTTGAATACTGGTCCGTTATTCGTCCGTAGAAGTCAACCAACCATGGTACGTGGGGCTATTGTGACTAGGGTGATGTGTAGTTCTCTCTCTCTGCCTTGGTATGACTGTTTGTTGCTAAATTGTTAAGATAAAATAACAGGTAATATTTTCTAACTTCACCTAACCTAACCTAACCTAACCTAACCTAACCTAACCTAACCTAACCTAACCTTACCTTTACCCAAACAAATTTAACCCAACTTAATCTACCCCACCTTAAACCAACGTAACTTAATCTAACTTAACTTAAACTTAATCCAAAAGGGTAAAATAATGTCACTAAAAGTACTAATGTATTAAAAAAATGGAATTCCTTTACAATTTCTACCTATTCTTACAACTCCTAGAAGATGTTGAGCACGGCGTTGTATTGCACTGTTTACATACCAAGAAGTGTTGTAAGGAGTGTATATAAATGAAAAAAGAATATAACCCCTATTTTGAAAAGTGATAGACACACCATAACACCGGGTTGTGTACTGGAGAGGGAGTCAACAAGGAAGACGTCGGCTATAGCGTTGTTCCTCAGTTCCCTCAGCGATAAGAACATTTTCCTCTACAGCGTCATGGGTCGAATGGATCCTGTCGGGGGCGTGGAGAGCTGCCTTTGGCTTTCGTGACCTCTGGCGAGCCAAGAAGGAGGTGAGGATATCACTGACAGGGCGGTGCTGGTAGGATCTGCCGTCGTCATCGTTGTTGTTGTTGTTCATCACCATGTTCTGGTTCAGGTTGTTGTTATTGTTGTTATTATTATTGTCGTTGTTATTGTTGTTGTTGTTATTATTGTTGTTGTTATTGTTGATGACGTTGACGATGTTGATGATGGCGTTGAAGACCACTAGGATGAAGTTCATCAGGGCGAAGACGGATGACCCCGTGCCCCGTCTCACCCTGTGATGCCCTGACGCCATAAGGGACTGTGACGTCATACGTGGCTCTGATGTATCTGTTGAGTCCTTGGTGGAGTAATCCTTTATGTTGGACGGTCTAGGTGACGTGTGATTACTTTGTTCATCTGGGTACTGTCCTTTCCTTAGTTTAACCAGCTGGGCTTCGTCCACGAGCGTCGTGTCCCGCAGTACCCGCCGCACCACGCCCTTCAGCTCTTTGAATCGCCCATTGAGAGGACTCCTTGCGTCCTGAAATCCTTGAACTGCGACGTTTTCAGGAGTCCTGGGGTCAACACTGACTAAGAAGGATGTTATCTGGGAATCACCGAGATACTCCTTCAGGACACCGCCTTGATGCCTCCCCGGTCTGTGATAAATGTTGACAAAAGAACTTCTATCAAGCATCATTCGTCCTTTTGTGCCGACAAACAGCAAAGTGATGGTTATAATGTAGATATACACACGTCTCGGCACTGACCTTTCCATCTTGTTGCTGATAATGAAGACCAAGATGACCTGAAGGAGTAGAACTCGTCACATCCACAAGTGGAGGCACTCCTGTCGCACCCACGAGAACACTGCAACACTCCCGCCTGAAGACAACAATGTCCGTCGTTTACACTGCACAAGCCTCACCTCTGACTGTTCTTAGATCGAATGTTTCTCGGTTATTACACTTCCTTTAATATCTCTCATCACCGCAACATACACGAAAGACAGACCTTGTGAGAGTCGTGTACAGCCAGGCCGTGAGCGAGGAGTGTGGTGAGGTCCCTCGGTGGTGGCGTCGGCGCAGTGAGTGGCGGGGAGGATGGTGTAGCCCGACGCCTGCACTTGGCTACACTCAGCTCCTCCGCTCGGTCATCTATTCATAGGTGTGTCAGGGTGTAGTTATTGAGAGGTGGGAGGAGGGGTGTACAATAGATGAATGCAAGTGAAATGGAGCAAGAGAGAGTTCCTACAGCATCTAGTGAAGGGATGAAGGGGGGTCCAATGGATTGAAGGGAAGAAATTCCATGGAAATACCTTATGTCTCAAAATATGTCAGTAAAATATAAATAACAGACGTTGTTGGTCTCTTTAGGTAACTGGGGAACTTCTAAAAGTTGTTCCAATAATTCTCTATTAACTGCAAGACTTGTGTAGTCCCGTGTGTAAGTGTAAGAACAAGAAGCAAAGTGTCTGGACCAAGATTTGATAAGTCATCACATGTACTAGACGCCAGTGTCAGCTCCAGCTATATCTCAGAGACGTAAGAACCCAGGCACAGAAAATAATGGTGTTAATTTTACGCAGGACCTCTAACTTGATGGCATCCACTTGGCGCCATTTACTGGACAAAACTGACCAACAGATTTTTTGTGGATCCGACCCCACCTGACTATTACCTTTGCCATTACATATGAGGCTCCATTATCATGTTTGTCATTAAACTGATATTTACGTTCAGTGGATAATCAACAGGCGACTCCACCAGCTATCGTCATTAGCGCTATCTATCGACCAACAGCTAAACCCTTGAGTTATGTAAACAGCATAGAAGGTATCCTGCCCTACCTAATCAAAACACACCATCACAAACGGCCTCGCACTTCACGGAACTCACTATGTTATTTATCCCTCTCAGTGAACTTCAGACGGTGAATAATCGTCTTCAGATATTACTACAAGTTGTTCGAGAATATCTAACTGAATAACGTGTGAAATATTTAAGGATACACTGAAGCCAGACCAATGTGGCTGACGGATAAAGGTCTGTAGTGAGTCAACAGGGCCTGAGGGTGTGTGTGAACAGTGATGCATCAGCTCCTCCTTTTTATCCACGTCTCTAGAGGTCCACAGTGCCACCCACCTGCTTCTACTCGGTAAGTTTACTGTTGCGTTAAGGATTCGTAATTACTGATGCTGTTAATAATATAATCATGCGTAAAGGTCAAGTGGACGTTTGTCTTTTTAATGGCGAACTTGATGGGTAAATTGAAGTTAGTTATTGGTGTTCAGTGGAGTTGGCTTACTAACTGGTGTCGTTGAAAGGAAGGTGTGGGTGTTTAGTTGTCCGTGTGAGTCGCAGTCTTGTTTGTGTACAGTCAAGTCGGAGTCTTCTGGACCCAATAATGAAGGGAGAGAATCAGCCAAACACAAATACAATAGTAGTAATTCAAGACTCGGTTCTGTATTGTTGCATTTTCATTTTCAACCAATATGGCAAGGGGGAGGGGAGGGGCTATATAAAAAAAACGAGTGATTTCAGACAAAAATCAATATCAAACTCGAATAAAACACGTCAAAAACTATCGGAAAAACACAGTGGTCAACTCGAGAGCTATGTTAGTTGAGAATGTAAATTTACCCAAGACGTCTTCCAGAAAACTGCAGATCTACTAAAGGAGTTGCATTTTTCGGATTTTTGTTTGGCAATGGATATTTTGCCGTGACCGGGTAAGATCCTACTAACGCTATTTTACCGTGAGTGTGCTCTCGTTGGCTAATCGTCCATTACCGGCGAACAACGCGAGAAATATATTAATTTGTGCATGAGAACTCATCATTATTATTACTAGAACCTAATAGAACCTGACCTAACCAACCAAAGAAACCTACCTAACCTTACCTAACTTCCTACCCGGGGGTGGACATCCCGTCATATTAAACAGAAAGTACTTAGCCAATCAGCGCGCAATCACGGTAAAATAGCCTTAGTAGGATCTTAGCCGGTCACGGCAAAATATCCACTACGTTTTTGTTTTAACAAAGTTTTCTTCCTGAAATTAATCTGCGTCCATCCGATGCCATTTTTGCTCTTGCTATATTGATGACAAATAAACGTTTCCAGCGACTGCCACCTAACCTAAGCCAACAGTGATGCCCTACTGCTATACCGACCTTACGGGGCGCTATGCCTAAGGGACTCGCTTTTATAAACACTGTATCTGTTTCCGTGTTCGATCTGTGCTGCCAATATACTGTACTTTGAGACAATTGGCGACGCCCCCTCACTCCTCTTACCAGTGTGAGTGATGACAGCCGCACGTAATATTGTTTAGGGTTTATAATACACACACACATGTCAAGGAGACCATTTATTGACGAGCGAGTGAGTGAAGGATCCATTGTTGACTGTGGCGAGGCTGACGAGTGACCACCACCAGGGAACTACCATGGCAGCTCTGTGTGTTTATTGGTCCCCAGCTGCTGCACCATTGAATTAACACCATAATAGTTACACATATAAATACATCGCCGTAGACAGACACAATCACTGCCGTAGTGATAATAAAAAGACTCCTTTTGTCTCATAATGTGACGAAGTAGTAGTAGTTTGCGTCCTGGTGAATGAATCGTACCTGAGGCTGTAAAAGTGCAAATATCTGGCTAAGTAAAGTCGTAGGTAAAAAAAATACGTCATATTTAGACTTCCTTTACTGTGCTTTACCTTCAAACAGTTAATTACACGTCCTCACATCACCAGTTACAACAAATATTCACCAAGCGAACATTTCAAAGTCTCTGGCCAGGGGAGGACAGGGGAAGACTTGGGTACAGGACTCCCCCCGGGCGCCCCTAGCTCTTGCTTCCTCCAGTAGCTGCGTCGGGATGTGGCGGAGACCCAGTAAACCAGACGCTAACCTGAAGGAGCCAGGGTGTGTTTAGGCTTCGTACACACTACATACGATATTATTAAGTGATTAGCTCACATACACATGGTCATACAGGTGTCTACAGAACACATAAGTACGTCCTTATCCATACGGGTATACATAAGGTATATTCGTAATTACATGTTCATACGGGGATCACCAGAGGCTACAACAATCTTCAAGGCTGGCAGTAACAATTGTTGTTAAGTTAGGTTGGAAGTTCTAAATTATTAATATATGTTCCAGGTAGAGATAAGTTCTAGGCAGAACAAATAAATTCTAGGCAGAGTATACAAGAAAAAGTTCTACGATAAAATTAGCGGAGACGCGACAACTCACCCTGAGAACCTGGTGGTGAAGGAGGCGAGACCGGTGGTGTGTGGGGCGGCCCTGGAGGTCTCACACACCACCCACGGCACACACACCTTCACCCACACCGCCCACTGCTTCGCCCACGCTGCCTCCCGCTCATGTGTTGTGCTTCCGTGGGTTATGTGCTTGTTTGGTGCCTCTATCGTCAGGTTTAATCCCTCTGTCGGTGTCTTCCTCGGTTTCTCAACTGTCGGTATGCTCCTGTCGGATCTATTTCTGTGTGGTGTCTCCTTCGATGTCATTTCCCCTGTCTTTCTGGCTTCCTTCGGTATGTTCTCGATTGCTCCCCGACGTCGACGCTGTCCACGACACACACACGAGGAGGTGGTGTTGCCGAGGGCGCGACCCGTCATGATGGTGTTGTCGTTGTTGTTGGTGTCCAGGTTGTTGCTCACATTCTCGTTGTTGATGTTGCCGTTGTTGTTATTTTCGTTGTTGTTATTGTTGCGGTTGTTGTTGTTGTTGACGTTCGAGACGGCATTAATGAGGACGTTGGCCGTCACGATGGAGAAGGTGAGGAGGGAGAAGACGTTACTGCCTCCTCCTCCTCCTGACGGGGGTGAGGGAGCGGGGCAGGGGTCAAGCTCATAGATGGTACCGTCGTCCTTGACAGGCATGTACTGGTACTGACTGTCACTTGCCTGGGCGAACATTACGGGTGTCTGGGTGGTGGAGGGAGGCCGCCCTAGTAGACGGATAGGCAGGTACCTTCTACCTCGCCTTCTGCCGTCGACATTCTCTCCATCATTTGTAGAGGAGAATGTGTGTACTGCTACAGGTAATGATGAGAGAGATATGGGGGAAACTGTCACCGCCCCACATATCACCACACCCGCCCACACCACCACACCCACCCACACCACCACACTCGTCACCATCCTCCAGGGTAGATGTGTTCTCTTTCACTGCCCACGAAGTCGACAAACTGGAAAGAGAACAACATGTGTCGTAACTTTTAAACTCCTATTTTAAAAACACAATATTGATATATATTCACCTGCCACGCCGTGTGTCTTGGGGAGGTACCACACTAGCGTACATTCCGATAGCGTGTGCTGGTAGTTGCCTCTACCAACCACACTCTTGTTTAATCATTTCCTTGTGTAACTGTTCCTACACAACCCATAAAAGCTGAAATATTAATTTTTGTGAACATTAATCTATCATAATTTAATTAATAACTATAACAAGGTAATTCAAGTCATACATATGCCTAAAATTCTTGAGGACAAAAGAACACAAGGATGAAGACAGCTGCGGTAGGTTTGTTTACCCAGGTGTGGCAGCTCTCGTCAACACCCGGCCATTATCATTCGTGTAACTGGTGAACGTATGAATGAAACTTCCCAGCGTAATTATTTGATTTGATTTAATAATATTTAGTAACGTGTACTTCTCTTCGACACCATTTAATTCCAAACCTATTTATCTCTTATTTAAACCCAAATATCTCTTAATGTCTTATTTATAATTGTCCATCTGTTTTGATTCGACATTTTAGAAACATAACTCTTATATACTGTACAATATCACCTTCACTTAACGCCGTCAGCTTTATTTATACAACTGTAGCCAAAATTCACTCAACACTTAACAGTATCTGACCATGTGTTAGTAGGTAGTATACATGATTCCTCTACACCTGGTGAACACTGCTTCTCACGGTAACTCATTCCAGAATAACTTAAAAAATACAGCCATTAATACAAAGAAACGAGTAAATACATCTTATACAGTAGTCACAATCCCCTCACCAACATGGCCGTCAAGTAAATATTACCCAAAGTGTCCGGGAGAAATTTGAACTTATATATATGTGCCGTACCACTAACCACGTCTCCCTCTTACTCTACATCACTCAAGAAAATGGAGAATCAGTTTCTTCGTGTTACTATGGAAGGTTTTGAGAGATGATAATTTGTCATCTTTCCATCAATGATTCTAAGTGAACGTGTGTCTGGTCTATAGTTCAGTGACCAGTATAGTATAAGGTTACACTAATGTTAGATAAAGGTATGAAGAAACCTTTGTAATCCTACTACACGAGGTACCTGTGTCATTATACTCACCTGTATGCTGCCACTGATGTTCTTCCACCAATATTGACTCTGTTTCCTTCCTGTCCCCCTTAGGAAGCCACGCCTTGGTCTACTAGTGCTGCTGCTACTGACGATGGTTCCTGGCGGGGCGAGAAGGACGCTACTGAAGATCCCACACCTTGGCTACGGTGCTGGAGAACCGCTAGACGAGTTCACTTGGTCATGAGACAGCTGGGTCGTCACGGCGGATGATGTTCGTCCACACTCCTACTCCACCCCCCATGACACACACACACCTACTGCTGCTGGGACATTATCACCACCACGACACCTGGCTGGACACCACATATGTCAGGTAATTTACTTTTGTTTTGTTGTAATTTGAGAAGTTGGAGTGTACACTTACCAGATGGTTGCTTTATGTATACGAGTATGTTTATCCCTCAGTGCTTGGCTACGGGGATAGAGTAATGTAGGGGTCAGTCTGTGTGTCAGTCCATCTGACTACACAAACATTATAACTCGAACAAAGAACTTTATGCCTGGGTGATACGCCATAGCTCCTTAGTTTAAAATTATTCAGTACCTCTGAATTATTTATTTGTTTGTGAGTGACGATCATCAACAATGTATAAGGTACTGGAAGTGATCACGATAGTGTGTGTGCTTGTGCGCTATTTACCTATTGTAACACTTTCCTGTTACAATCCTCCCTCCTTCCCTCTCTCCTTCAGCTCACTAGGTCATCTCTCATACGTTCACACTACATCAACAGTATCGTCTTCAAGGTCACGTGACCACACACACACACCAGAGCAGTGACCGAGGCCAACACCTTCACCGTTAGTAAGGGAGCGAGAGACCGTGACGGGCAGTAGGGCGTCCGTGTGTTTGTTTACATTCGTGTTGACCACCTGAGCCCCCACCTGTGACGCGACGGACAGGAAGGAGCTCATCATGGGAGTGTAAGGTATTTTAACTCTAATTTCGGACTCAAGAGCGCTCGTCACCCAGGCTGTGATTGGCTGTATCGTGGATTATTTTTTTCAAGGGTATTGTACAAACGAACCAATACTTTCTTGAACAACTGTGCTAAATCTAAATTAATCGCTTGATGGGGCTTGCACTTAAAGGGGTTAGTACTAAGATGGAGGTCACACTTGAAGAGGGTCACACTAGATGGAGGTCACGCTTGAAGGGGTTCGCATAGAGGGGTACACGCTTGAAGAGAGAGAACCTCAACACCATCTGATCCGTGAGGAGGTGACGGGTTGGCTGTCTTCACCAGATTTATGACACACACACACACACACCAATTTTGATCTGATATTACCTTAAAACACATCATAACTTATCGTTTACATAACTACAAGCATTAACAGTAAACAAAGATAATGCTTGAAGCTTAGGAGACTCGGCCAGGCACGACAGTATATCAGGGTGTGGGGCTGGTCTTGGGAGGGTCGACTTCTGGTTTAAATTGGATTCCACTTCTAATAGAGGCGAAGACGAACTAGTAGCCATTACGATTGGGCCCCTCAATGATAGCAGCATGTTCAGGAGTACGTAATGCAGAATTAATTTGTAATTAACATTGCAGACTGCATTCGGGATATTTTTAAACCATTTAATTATCTCTTTGTTAGGGAAGCAGAAGTAAGATATACGTTATGGATATTCTACCTCACCACAGTATGTAACTGTAGTACCTGATGGCGTCTAGTATAGTAATAGAGTAGAGCAGGAGCTTGTGGTCCAACGATGTCATTCCACCTGAACCATTAGATCAGGTTAGGTGACTTTGGGTGAGGAAGAGGATGTATAGGAGATGGTTCTGGGGAGGATGGGGGTTAGTTATCGTACAGGTCAAGGTAGGCTGGAATATATGGCTTGTGTCTCCCTCAGGTCACCACACAGGAGAAGTACGGTGAACCGCCAGCAGGAGTGAGAGGGGCGGGCAGGACACATTACTACAGGAGGAGGTGAGGGTCAGAGTCGTCCCTCCCTCAGATGTCAATACCCGCCGCGCCACCGCCTGCGTCGCCAAACTGAAGGTACACCAGAGAGGAAGTTATCAACACCAAGAGGATTATAGGATTGTTGGTAATGATATAGTTAATATTAAATAATGCACTAAACAACAACAAAATATACTCACTTTAATCACCTCAAATATGGATGTAAATATTATACTGTATTGGAATGATGATGAAGTGTGGGAATGAGTTACAACTAAAAGTTAATTAACGTCACCAGTCAGGTTAACAGAGGCAGTAGCCAGGACTCACCGTGACATTCTGACGAAGACGCTTCCGAGACCGCTGGTGTATTTAGCCTCCAGGTCTTGTTCACACACGAGACGCAGCAGACAGCCGGACCACTGCCATCTACGGCCCTCACCGCCACCCTGATCTTTTCTCTCCTGTAGGATGTTGTAGTACCTTTGCCTCAACGCCTCTCTCTCATCTAGGGTATTTAGGACTACAACAGTATCATTTCCTTCACTGGTGTTAAATGTGTTTTCAATTCTCCTGGCAGTTGACTTACTGCTACATGAACACGTTTTCTTGAGACCAAGTAAATTCTTACCTTGTCTTGACTGACTTGAGTAAGTGTGTGTGGGCCTGGGAGGATGTTTTAGTGCATCACGTAAAGGCATTTCAACATATGGTAAGTTATGTGCCAGTCTCCCCACCCAGGAGGAGTGTGTGTGGAGGGACACTGGCGAGTTGTTGTCGAAGTTAATGTTTTTTCCCCCAAAGGAGATCGTGTTGGGGTTGGAGTTGGCGGATGAGGTAGCGGTCAACACAGGTACTCCGTCGGCACCCAAGTCAGCGTTGGCGTTTTGTTGCCCTACCTGGTTAATCCTGACGGGGACAACGTTGTTCTGGGGTTGTACGGCGTCATTGTTACCGCCTCCACCGTCACCGTTACCTCCGTTAGTGCTAAGACCGTTGTTATTATTGTTATTATCGTTGTTATTGTTGTCATTGTTGTCGTTATTGTTGTTATTATTATTGATAGCGTTTAGGACGTTGGCGACAGTGATGGTAATGGACACCATCATGCTCAGGAAGCCAAACACGGAGAACCTGGAGGGAGAGGGGGAGGAAGGGGGGCAGTAGTCCTCCGTGATGGTGTTGGCGTAAGAGTCCAGTGCCATGTATTCGTATCCCCGCTTCTTCCGGCCTCGCAAATCCTCCTCCAAGGGGAATTTTTGTTCTTGTGAGGTCAACTCTACCATGTTATGTTCTTTTCGCATTTGGAATTCAGTCTCAGGCTGGTGAAGCGGTAAGGAATTTTCTCGAGTTGTGATCATACGGGCACCCTTGACCTTAAGAGAGCCACTTGAATGTCGTCCATTGGTCATCGCGGCGCAAAATATCGTCACACACACACACTTAACGATGATTGTTCCCACAGTCACCATTTCTGTAATAAAAATAGTATTTAATTTTCATAATTTTAATGAATAGCGAAAAAAAATACGAATAGACATGATTTAAATTCTTACAATGAACAAGGTGCAAAGTGTATCGACCAATTCTCTTAATTTAAATGAAATGATAATATCGTTAATATCGACTACTTTCAGGATTGATTTTCTCTAAAGCTTTTATCACTAGTTGACCATCATGTGAGCACGAGCACTGAGACCACCACATGAAACAACTTGATCTATATTCTATTATAATTCTCAGGATAAATAATTGATCACAATACCAAACTTAATTTCCAGATTATTGTTTTTCATTATTCAAAATTAGACGTTTGAACTTGAATATGCAATCAAAACTAATGTAATCCAGGAAATAACGATAATACACAAAGTTCTTCACTATTAACAGGAATTATATCCAGAAACTTCCCCACTAGTACACACTGCGGGACTCCTATTCCTCATGTCCTCACTAACAATGACTATACAGGGAATATTATACTATGTGGCAACAATAAGAGTAAAAGCATGCAGTGGTAACTCCGAGATGACAGGAGTTACTTCACCAGAAACGAGACCACTATAACGGCACTACAGGGGAACTATAACACTCTCGCTCCCAGCTTACATCCACCACACCTCAACATTAGCGCTGGTGGGTGAACGGCCGCCAGCCCTCACGAACTATTCTCATTCATCGCGGTACTTTGCCTTAATACAAAATTTAAAATCAAAACTACAAATTATTCAAAATAAGGGAGAGGTTTGTATACTTACAGTGTCTATATATAAATGCTGAAGCAGTGCAAACTTGTAAGACGATTTTACTGAATAAATTTATCTACAGTGTAAATACATACGATGTAATTCTTTACCTTTTATCTACGTTTTCAAACAGCAGCCACACCAGCGTATAAGATTAATGCGATATTATTGGTTATATTATCAAACATTTGGTAAATAGTCTTGAAAAAAAACCGTAAACATATCAGTGTCAATTACCCGTATGGACCATGTTGAGTCACTCACGGACCAGACACAACTGAGCCTCACGCCCTCACTCCTCACGGGCCACAGACACTACTGAGCCTCACGCCCTCACTCCTCACGGGCCACAGACACTACTGAGCCTCACCACTCACCAGCCAGGTACGAAATGTTGGACTTTACGGATGCTGTTCACCTTAATTAGAATATTGTATACGAATAAGGAGGATATTCTTGTATCGTTTTTATTCATGTTAACAACTGAAAATCATTTTACTGGGCGTAGTAGAAACAAAATGTAATTGAACATTTGTAAATATATTTTGTATAGTTACCCATATAAATATTGTTTTCTGTGAACGATATTAAGTGTCAGAAAATGGTACATATGGTCAACTTCGATATTATAACTTCCTCTAGCAATACGTTTAATTTTAGGTCTCCACATAATCTACTTTTTATGTTATTAGTTGGAATTCTATTTATGGCACTATATGTATGTAGATTCTGCATGAAGGCTTATCCCTGTGTCTAGATCATCGTCACTGGAGCAGGTTCAGGTACATTCAGGAGCCGGTGCATGCCCAGTACTTGCCAACAGTGCGTAACAGAGACGTGACCGATTGCCCAAGCGGCTAACGAGCCGATCATTTGGTGAAGAGGATAAAAGTAAAAGAAAGTAAAGTACCCAACCTGATGTTCTGAGGTTCTAGTACTCTATGGCGGGGAATGTCCAGTACTTCTCTTCCTGTAAAATATGTAACAGTCACACCTCTAATACTGCAGCACTTTTTCCTCGACTGTCCAACTGACAGCGACAGCTTACCTCAGGGATTCACGTATCACAAGATGGCACCACTTACTTGTACCAGATAATTTAATTGAACTTCTGGTATGCTGCCCACACTTTGGTGGTGCTAAATGAAATAGTCTCGTTGTCCCATTAAGTTTTACTTGACCGCGTGTTTGTACTGATTTTGTTGCCATTAAGGCAACATCGTACCAGGTGGGCGGGGAGTCCAGGGGGATGGCTGCTTCCCGAGCTTCTCTCTGTTTGCGGCCAATTTGGGTCCTAAACTGTATGCCCTTAA